CGTACTCGATCGAGCTGAAGCCCTAAAAGCTCGTACTCGATCGAGCTCAAACTTCAAAAGCTCGAACTCAATCGAGCTCAAACTTCAGAGTTCGAGTGAGGCCGATCAAGTTTGAGCTTGTAGGATTTGAGCTCGATCGAGTTCGAGCTTTTAAGGTTGGAGCTCGATCGAGTTCGAGGTTTTAAGATTTGAGCTCGATCGAGTTCGAGTATCTATTTTCGAGTTCGAGCTCAATGGAGTTTCCAAGTTCGGATTCAAATCGAGTTCAATCTCAAAAAACTCGGTATCAAAACTAGAAGTTGAGTTTGGAATTGGTACATGTCTAACTAAGATCACACAGATTCTTCTTTATTATGTAGGATTACTTGAACAGATGGAACATACTAGGACTTCAGTTATGTTTATCTACATCATGACGGACGCCAATATCATCTAACGGGAAACGAGGAGTTGATACAGTCCGAAATACTGCGATCGAGAATTATAGACAAGATATGTTACATGAACTTGCTTTGATTCAATCTGCTTGTGGAAGGAATCAATCGTTGTGCGTAGCAGTCTTAGAACAGATCCCATATTTTCCAAGTCAATTGCAACGCTGTCTTGGACCTGTGGCAGATCAAAACACTGAATACCTGCACCACACACTTATGATTGTTCGTAAGCAAGTTTGGACCACTACGCTTTACGTTGTCACTGAGGGCAATCTCGTACAATCAGAGTATTTTCCCCATTGAATGTTATCTGTTATTTTCGCTATCATGAACATCAAACAAGTGAACAAAAAGATCGCTTCTTTCCCATAATCGAGTGTTTTTGTCGAAGCGTGGAACCTTATATAAGCAGCGAAATGAAAGTTGAAAACGTTGAGCGAAAGTGTGTGTGTCACTTGCCTGTCTCATGAATGTTCCGAAACGTAAAACTTTGTTAACTCTAATTTGGGGACAAGTGAGTAAAATGTAACATTTTTTTTCGTGCAATGTCAAAGACTTCCGATAACCAAAAAAATGACTGTATACAGTCAAGGAGCAGTGAACGGTATTAGCACTTAGTAACTGATATGGGAGTATTCTTTTTCAAGAAACTGACGGCTACTTTAAAGTGCAGTTGAAAAGCAGAAGACAGAGATTTTCCAAAACTAGCACAGATGTGAGAATTTTCCAAAACTAGCACAGATGTGAGAATTTTTCAAAACTGTAGTCGATCCGTAACGACAACATATTTCCTATGTAAAAAAAATAAAATGGGTCACATGGATTAAAATGGATTATAATCGTACAGCTTTAATCGATTATTATTAGTGATCATTTATTATAATTAGCTACAATTGGTTATAATCACGATAATAGCTGTTCTACTACAATAAAGAATACAAACTGATGAATATCGATTTTCATCGTTGAAGAATTCATTAGAAATCGATTAAAAGACATAGTGATCATAGCAAGTCGTCTTGTATCCTTGTTATATTACAATGACGATATCACACAATCGCCATTCTAAAAGGGGACGCGTGGATATAGATCTGGGCATGTACGAGCTGAATGTCCTTCCCATAACTGCGTCTTCAAGGCAAGACAACGGTTGGTTGTGAATGTCGGACAGAAACGAACGTCTCACACATCATCCATTCTTTATTTACAAATAGGAGAAAATATTTGTCTTTTAATATCATCGTCAGGCAAAGATGCTACCTCATATCATCTATATTCTAGCAACACAATGAAAGGAAGCATCTAATTTTTGCATTTGAAAATGCAATTTACGTTGCTCAATCGTTTATAATCTTCACAGAAACGTTTTAGCTTTCCACTATTAACATACGACTTGCATTTTAAATTGAAAATTCTACGAACGAAATGACATAAGAAAGAAATATGAAGTTTTCCTGTGAATATGAGGCTTATGGTATCCATGAAATCGCTTGTTTTCTCAAAATTGCGGTAAATAAAAGTGGTAATTTTTCAATAGCACTATACTGCTTGTGTTGTAAAACATAACATTTGTGTTGCAAATAGAAATAAAAGAAGATATAGTATTTTCTCGAATACATGAGCCTGGAACTCACTTAGTAAAATGAGTCAATCATGTTCTAGAATACAAAAAAAAAGTAACTTATCGGTGCTTGTATTATGAACTTCATACTGACATTGTAAATCGAGTGGCGTGTAATCTGAAACACGGCACGAAAGGCAGCATTACTGTTTCTATATGAACATGATATGTACTCATGAAATCAGATTGCGTATAATTTGAAATTCAAAGAAAATGAAATACGAAATTTGCAGGACATGTATGATAGAAATTTGGCAAACAGAACCGTTGAATATCTCAAATAGAAAGTGAAGAATTTCTTCTTTTTTTAATTCGAAAGCATGGCTTCATTACTAAAATCATTGAGCATGGCACTCAAACCAAAGAAAACTTCGCTTTCTGAGATCGGATATGGGCCAGATGTTGAAATTATTGAAAAATTTGATCATTTCATATAAAAAAATTCAGTCAAGTTCCCAGATCGCTCATTTTTCATATGACTAGATTACTGAAGTTCATGTGAAACTACTACTTCAAATATTCTAGATCTTGTAAGATTGAAGTAATGCTTCATAAATGGCTACTATCGAACAGTTATATCAACAGAGGAGAGAAAAAACTTTAAAATATCTGTATTTTAAATTTCTCACCCTTCACAAGACAAATGCTTACGTTCATCAAATACAAATCATTGTGCTACATGCAGTGGTCCTCAAACGTCTGAGATGATGATTTGTAATGAAAGTGACAGAAATCAAACGTCGACTTTTTTGAACATCGACAATAACATTCACGATATTTGGTTTTGTTCAATATCTATCCGATAGCATGATGTTACTCATACATATTGGAAAAATCTTCATTCAAAGATAGTTTCAGAACCCACACAAGTATGCTCCATTACAATAGTACGAAAAGAACTCTTCAAATCCTACCAGATAAGTGGATGATATTAAAGAAATACATCTATGAGACAACTAGAGAGTGATTAGTTATATTTTTGAATATACCATGTGCATCATTGCAAGTAGATTGTATTAGTGTGATAATCGTTGTGCTTAGCGTGTAAAAATTTTCAGAAGAGGTTAAGTATTTATTTATACAAAAACGGAATAAATTCAAATCATTTAATTTCATTCAAACAGCGACTTAATCGAAATGATTCATTGAAAACGATCAATTATGTCACAATTCGATTTCATGATATCTTTTGTTCTCATTGAATCACAATTTAAACCGATTATTCGGTAGGCTTCCCTAATACTAACGGACATAGTAAGCAAATATCAAATAGTTCTAGATTAAAAATATAAGCTTCTCTTTCATACAGAAATCATGTGCATATATCAATACAAATACAAAACAGAAACATATTGTCTTTTGCCTAAAGAAAAATTTTTTTATTTATGTATGTCGAATAACTAATTGCATGCTATGATCATCATACACAGTGTTAAATTTTCTACCATCGAACACAAACAGACAAACAACATCGAATTGAATAAGAAATCGTTTCGTGATTATCAATCCAAATAGGGATGTGGATATTCGATTGACTTTCCGCGTGTATTTTGAATTTTTTCTTCGTCTTGTTCCGTCATCGAGATGGTTCCATCATCTGCATCACTGTTTGTTGTTGAAAGTGTTTCAACATCTTCATCTTGACTTGTTGGTGATGATTCAGATTCGTCAACAGTAACGCTTTTTGCTTGACGTTGTCGTCGAAGAAAATCAATTTCAGCCTTCTTAAATAGTGGCAAATCGTCAAGAGTATCTGAAGTATCGTCATCTGAATCGTCGTCTGATTCTTCAGGTGGTTTCACGAAATATTCATGTTCACCTACAAGAGACAAAAGAAAAGAAAGAAATTAGACTTTTATTTCTTTGATGAGAAAAGCTTGTTTCTCAAGTATTGTTTACCCATAATGCAAATAGTTGCGCGTCTCTTCCAATAGAGTTTTACTTTTTCCTCTTCCTTGGTCAAGTTCTTTTTGAAAAATATTGGTGCATCGTCTGGATTCAGGAGGACAATGGCAGGCATTTTTGTCCGGATTCTTGTGGGTTTGATATATTTCCCACGAACCTAATATATACAAACAAATATTAAAGAAAAATATTTTTTAGTTTCTTTGGTGCAAACACTAAGCAGGTTAACTTAAAATTTCTTTCTTCATGTAATGTTTTGAAAAGATATGAAAACAAACAGGTGATGTCTCTTATTTTCCAAATGATTGCCGGTTACATATGATGCTTATGAATGTTTACTGTTTCAGAGCTACATTTTCAAAGGAGCAAGGGATGTGAGACATAAACTTTTTTAATCATACTATAAAGGGTGATTCGCTTCGGATTTATGTCCCGTGTCACTATCGAGGTTTATGTTGGGTAGAATTGCCCTAAATTCGATCTGTTAGATTCCTTTCTCTTTTTTAACGTAATTTTGTTAGTGCTTGTCATTCTTCCCCCGCTTTTAAAGTTTCAGTGTAGCATCCACAGGCTAGGCAAGCAAGAAAATGCTCATAGACATGTATGAATTGTTAAAGAGATGATGCTCAAGTTTGCAAATGGCAGTACAACAGAAGCTACACAACGCAATAATAGACGTTCGATAAGCTGTCAGATTTTTGGTTTCTGTTTTCATAGAAGACGTGGTTCATATTGATATGGTAACAAGAATCGTACCAATTCCACGTCATCCATGTACTATACAGTTTCAATAAGTATATCATTCACAGATAAGGATCATGGTGAATTTTATTGCATTGTTTTAATGAATTATTCAAGAAACTGTGTTATTAGTTAGTTCATGTTAATTTTTCAAGTGTCGCGAAAGCAGACTACATTCCTATTAAGTGCAAAGTTTTGAGATATACAAGGTGGCAGAAAAGTCGGATTGTCGGAAAGAAAACATTGAATCTTATGATTGTCCCTCAGGCAACTGAGCTGATTATTCAATCAATGTTAGAAGCATGTGCAACGTTAATAGCGATAACGACATGGTGAGAGTAATTCTTTGTTAAGTATAACTATGGATCTGAAGAAATCAATTATATTTCTCAAAGATAGAAGGAAAACGATAGGAAAAGTACAATATTCAAGCTAGCACAAAAGTTCCTTTACCAAAAACAATTCTGTATCTCCGTTGCAACTCGAGCAACCCAGCCAATATTTTTTGTCTTTGTTAGCTTCATGTTTAATCTTTCTATCTTTACAGACATACCTAGAGAGATACTTTACTAAGTATAACATTCTGTTTTTAGTGTCCATGAAAAAATAAAATCTTTTTCTTAACATCACTCGTTATACTTACATAAGAAAGAATTTCTCTAGACATGTCTTCATAGATATTAATTTTGAAAATACTTCTATCTTTAAAAATAATTAGCTAAAATGCCGGAGCCGTTGTGGACATATTGAAATATTTTTTTTCGTTAAACAGATTTTTGAGCCACGCTGTATTCAGCACACTAAGTCTACAAACAAGCGTTCATAGTCTTGCTCCACTTAAGGAATAGTTCTCAATGAGTAGTAGATCATCGACATGATATGTAGGTAAAAAATACTAAGATAGACATCACTTTTTCCGATAAGTGATTGAAATGACATGAAGAAATACATCTTAGGATGCTATGTCGCTTCTTTGCACTCATACTTTACTTTCAATACGGTTATACATACAGTCGTAAAATGTTGACCAGTAAGCAAGTTCTTCTTTCTGGGATATCCGTGATCTTTGAATTCTTCCCATGGCACATCATCAATCACTATATAATCCGCACGATTGTCCCATTCTTCGGGATTAAAATGACCGACGCAATGATTTACGATACCCGGTAGACTTAAAGCAAATGATGTTTTTCCTAAAATATTATTTTTATTTTGCAATAATGAAAACATATGTTCTGTAAAAATATCCAGATCAACCCTCTGTTACAAACCTGTGCCTGATGGACCGATTAATACGAGAAGTTTTGGACGACCTCGTTCGGTCCGGAAGTGCTTGCGTAACCATTTATTGATTTTCTTTCCTATTGTACGTTTCGATAGTAAAAATTAAAAAAAGAAAAAGAATATAGAAGATTTAACAAATGTGAAAGAAGTGTTCCTACGAAGTGAGCTTGTACAGTCAGGAAAAGATACCGTCCAACACAATTCTTTTTCCAACGCTTGCTCTTGTCGTTCTCGTATTTGTGCTAACGTATGAATACGTTTTAGGTTTGGTTCCAACCTTAGTTTTGCAAAGAACAAAAGTGATAGAAATTTTTCGGACAGGTTTTGATTTTGTTGATTGAATAGTGAAAAATATTTGGAGTTTTCAGAAATATACTTACTGTTTTATTTTCTTTATAGCCACGGGTTTATTCTCCGCGACAAGTATTTCCAAAGCAGTATTGACGTCTTTCTTTTGACACGCACGAACCATGCGTTCGATTAAGTCGTCTGAAAGCTCAGCTGTTGCTGTTGCTCCTGAAAAAAAAAGTCTCCTATTATGATACCTGATGTGTATCCTAGAAACAATAGCAGTCTTCCAATGTCAGTGACATCATTGGCAATATTAGTTCGTTTGGATAGGATTTTTCTTTTCCAGAAGATCCATTTTTGTACTCTGTAGATGAACATTTCTTTTACTTTACTTCTTCTTTATTACATTTGCTTTTTTTTTTGAGATATCATGACAACGAATAGTCCAAGATGCGCAATCATTCTTCCCTATGACAAACCCTTTTCGATTTTAGTTTCTCGATTGTAATGTGAAAGTATTTCAGAAGAATGTTTGCTTATTTTTATTACATGAGAATGATTCTTGTCTATATACGCAGCGCGGTAGAATGATCGCTTCGATTTACATCTCAACTCTTCAGTTGTTGATGTCTGTTATTCTGGCAAGAAATGTTCGGCACATTCAATAAATTCTTATTTGTTCTTGGTCGAGAACTCTTAAGAATGTGACACTTTGAAAGTACAACGGTAGGTGTATATGAAAGCGTGGAAAGAAATACTGTTTCATTTTATTAAGAAGAATATTTTCCTCTTGATTTAGCACAACTGGCTATCAAAAGACGTTTCTTTCAATTCATTTTGTATATGGTGAGTATCGAATGTTCGATTTCATTTGCCATGTAGCGTTAATCTACCTTTCATTATCTATTATTTTGATAAACACAGAGTTCAAGAGAGTCTCTCTGATGGGCCCTTGTGAATTTAAATTTCTATGTCATTTTCCTGAATACAAGTTTGAACGAATACTCTATTTTGCTTTTTTCTTCAAGTTTATAATGACTATATTTTTTTGAACACGTTGTGTCACTTCAGAAAAATTAAATTTATTGGCTGATGCTAAAACCTGTTTAGTTGTAACGCCAAGGATCAAAGTAAATCATTTTCTAAATATTTCTTTGTTCGTTAGGGAATATGGAAGTCTTGAAAGATTTTATTTGGGATTATTAATCAAGCCGTACTTACGGAGGAAAACTACTCTTTCAAATGACTGATATTTAGTCGTTTGAAAAGAGCAACAGATATGTTGTTCTGAAGTCCGTACTATAGAATCTTGAAAAGGAAAATTGAACGGCTACTATTTTGAACTTCAGTCTATGTTTCTAACAATTGCTATCTGATGTCAACCAACTAGGCAAGCAATTATTGTTTCAAGGGCATTCGTTTATATTTTTTTTACTTTGTTTCGTAGCCATTGGCCATTTCTTTTTACCACCACGCGACAATGTACTTTTAAAGGAACCATGTTCCGTGAATGTTAAAGCTAGGTAAAATAAAAAAAAAAGTGATATTTTAGTTTTCAATCGTTTGTTCAAAGTGAGTAGATGTCATGTTTTGAACAGCGGTATTCGTACTTTTTTTAATATATTCATTCCATGGTTTATCTAATTTTGTCACATGGTACTCACAAACACAATCTATAGAAACAAGAGGAAATGTTATATGAACAACGAATATCATCATTAAGCTTTCAATTGTAAAAACATACCGAGAAACATATCGAAAAATGGTTCATTGAGTGTCTTGACCTCTTCTACAATGATCTGTATATGAATACGTGGTATATCCGTACCATGTTGAATTTCATTAGCAACACAAACATAAGTTGCTGTCAATTCTTTTTCTTCCAAAAAATCAAAAATGAATGGAACCACTTGTCCTCCTAGACACAGATGAGATGATATTTATAAATATTATTTGATAAACATATATCACGAAAGAGAAAGTAATGTATTCATTCTTATACAAGTATCATACTTGGCACAGATGAAAAACCTGATATTGCCATTGACTTCGAATTTATTTTGTATCCATGACGATCTCTTTCTGTGTGCCCGTAACATTCGTCTACGTTCGGCAATTTGAAACGCATTTTTTCGGCAATGCTTTTTGCACCTATACACAATGGTGTTCACAAAGACATTCAATATAAGAGACCATCAAGGTTCCATATCACTTACTGAGTTTTCCGTACTCAAAGAATGGACGATCATGATCGTCCACTTCACAACCTTCTTGATACAACGGTGGATATGCACGGGTCCAAAAATCAACTGGATTCTCAAGAGCATCATAATTTACGGTAGTTGTGTTGGTCGTATCAGCCATGATATCTTCATTGGAGTCGATGCTAGATGATTGACCTATGCGAATAATACGCTTAGATAAATCAACCATCAGTTTGAATGAACAAATTTTTTACCTGGATTCGGTTGATTTTCCATCTCCATCTCTGTTTCCGAATCACTATAATCTACCAAACTGCTTGCCATTTTATTTTCAATAAATGATTGTACAAAAAAAAGCGTGAGAATTTGCAAAAAAAAAAAAGAAGCTTAAAACTATCTAAAATCGAATACAAATTGTGAAAAGATTGATAAGTGAGTCATCTTTTATGTTTATCGTGCACTGTGATTTCAAATATGCATTTCGTTAGTTTAGAAACACTTTTTAGACAATCATCAGAAGCTAGATTGTAAAAATTTCTTAGATTATGAAGCCTTTAGCTAAATATTCTGCTGTTGCGCTACAACAAATGTGCTATTCATACCAGGAGATTTCTTCTTCAATTTACAACTAGTATCTCCATTTCACTAAATGAAGAGGGAAACATGAAATTCTCTGGAAGTCATTTTCGACGAACATTTCAAGACTAGACCAAGAAGTAAATAGTTAGATGAGTAGAAATTCAGCAATTGTAACATGCTTATCACGCAGAATTCAACATTCTATGGACTTATAAATTTTTTTTGAAACGTACTCAGTAACACATCAGAATTCTGTTGTTATCTACTTATTTCTTAGAAAAATGCTGTGTTTCGTAAAAGCAACTTTATAACGATATCCCGGTCAAAAGATAATACGATTCTCTTGTTGTTATGTCTTTAAATTGTGTCAAGAATTCTGTAGAATACTGTAGCATTCTATGTGATCAGAGATTACATATATATATGAGTCAGTGTCGAATAGATTTTAAAATTCTATTCCATTCTGTTTGAAATCTTCATGAGGATTTTTCTTTCTTGTTACACATATTCAATTTTACCATGTGCATTCGAAGCATATCTTTTCAAACGCATTACAGAGCTGTAGTTGAAGTCTGTTCGTTTTTAGTAGAATTTCTTGAATTGCAAAGGTATTATCCGGTTTTTGACTTGAATCGAATATAATTGCTGTTACGTTCTCAAGTTCTGATGCTGTTCGTAATCAGCACTTGTGTGTATATCATTTTCTATTATTATTAATTTCAAATAACGAACTGACTTGATTTTAGTTTAGAAATTACAATGAGTGTATGTCTCCGATGAAAAATGAAAATTTCTCATAGTTATCAGATTTATTTTTTCTTTGAAGATTTTTGCATATGGAATTGTTTGTCTCTTCTCTGAAATAATCTTCTACTTTTGAGCTATCATGCTGCATTGTCACATATATATGGGGCTGCAGTGGAATCGGAGTGGATTATTTTCTATTCCATCAAAACTAGTGTTAAAGTGGTTTTGTGTTCCATTGAGAGTAAAATTGGAGCCGGGCGACATGCTAGTGACTGGAGCTGGAGTTGCGTCGTGAATGAGAAACGGCCATAACTGCCCATCTCTCCTTAATAGGCTCAACCAATAGTGAAGGCATTTTTCTCCATATTCATACTAAGGTCAACATCTAATAGACGAATATTTCATTTCTCAACAAGACGATGTAAACTAAAACATTCACATTAGCTTCGTTGAGTACAGTATGATGAGCATTATTCCATGAATCAATGTGTTTTATTTCAATTTTCAAAGCAAAACATGCTTGTATGAAAGAACATTTTTAGTGTAATTTGTAAGTTTAACTATATGACATTGGAATATCGAGTTGCACTTTACATAAAGAATTCCAGATAACAATGAATACCAAGAAAGGAGTGTGTCATTTTTGTATGAGCAACCATTCAGTTTGATGTGAACTAACAAACTGTTTTAGTTCACGATCAACAGTAGTCAACGAGAGAGTTGACGGAAAAGACGCACTTTGAAGTAATAATTCACATTCATGTTGTTCAAGTTTATTTTGAAAATAATCGATTTTTGTCAGGATAAATTTCACAACTGAATCATTTTCCGTAGATGTTTCATCTGATGCCATAACCATCTTGATGACATGTTCCTAATAATGAGAGATATATAAATGTAATAAACAATAGAAATACTATTCATATCGGAAAACTCACTGGCCATATCTGATATTGTGACCCCATATCAAGAAAAGATTGCCACATACATCGATGTTAAGACTGAATTGTGTAGAAAATTTCATCGCGATCTGACTCTCTTTTCAAAATTTATCGTGTAAACGACCGGTCGGCCGGACATACTGACCGATTTTAGAGTGTACTCACTTATTGAGTACACAAAAAACGTAAAAACCACAATGCGTCACCAGGAAATCCTTGCAAAAAACCCACGGAAAGTCCTTAAAAAGGATGAGATTCTCTGCCGAAGTTTTAGGGACTCTTGACATTTTACTGAGGAGCGAGGAGACAAAGACGTACTCCTTGAGAAGTCACTTTCTAGGAATATCTCAAGGGGTATTTTCACGTAGATTTCAAATCCATGCCGAATCTCAGTGATTTTACTACATAGCGTTAGCCCTTAGAAGACATGTATATAGTAACATACATAGAAACATCAATAGATTCATAAGTCGCTAAATAGGTAGCTAGAATCATAGGTGAAGAGACACATCGATAGGCAGCTAGATAGATAGGCGAGTAGATAGTTAGGTAGATACACATATAATAATGGAAACAGATAACTACGTAGGTAGATTGACAGTTACGAAAGTAAATAGCTAGCTAGTTAGGTATGTAGACTGATAATAAGTTGGGTGGGTAGATGCTTAGGTAGGCTGATAGTTAGACACATCCAGATATAGATCGAGAGATAGGTAGCAAAGTGGGTAGAAAATTAGGTACAACTAGCGAGAACCCGTGCATACTGCACGACAGCACTTTTTTCTTTAACATATGATCTCAAAACGCTAACCTTTCATACGGTAACAGATACAGAAACACTCGACATTATGAACATAGAAGGTGTATGGCGTGATATTCTTATATTACTGATAGCCCATGGAGCCTTACAGTCTTATAGCTTTACCATTTGTAGCCTAATTTCTCCATAGCGTTCTCTTCGTAAAGCATTTCTTCCTTATAGTCATACCCCATTATTATCTTGCTGCCTTATAGCCTTACTCCTTAATATCTTTACCTCCTTATTGACCTTCTCGCTTAAAGCCTTTGCCTACTTCCCCTTACCGTCTTACCCCTTATACCAATATCCTCTTGTTGCTTTACCCTCTTATTGCTTTACTGCATTATAGTTCGATAGATGGATAGATAGGTGGGTAAATAGGTAGCTAGATAGGCAGATAGACTGATAGACAGTTAGATATATAGCTAAGCAGGTAGATAGGGAGCTAGATACGGAGCTGAATAGAAAGATACACAGTTAGATAGATAGATAGATAGATAGATACGTAGGTAGATAGTTAAGTAGGAACGTGGACAGATAGGTAATCACTTGGATAGGTAGACATGGCCCTCAGGTATAATTTCGTTGATAACTGTCATATAACGGCTAGTATGTCACTCAGAAAATTGTCCTTCATGACAAAATACAGAGATACTTATATAGTGACTTCCTGAGTGATCCCTAGGAACTCCCGATAAACTCCTTTAGAAGTCCCTAGGAATTTCTAATGAGTTCTCGGTGGATTTTTGTAGAGAATCCTTCCTGTCTGGCTTGGGAGACTTTCGACAAGAAATTGTAAATACAAAAGTTCCTATCGTCTTATCTTTTTTTTTTGCTATCCTGCAATATAACAATAAAACTGAACAAAACCTTAGGCCTCATAAGAATGTACATGTTTTTATGTACATAAAATCTTGATCAGGTAGCTACAATCAACCGAAATTTCTGAATTTCCACGTTGATTATAGCGATCAGCTGACAGTCCTGATCTTCTTGATCCTGCTCTGCTGGTGGGATAGCCACAACAGACAGCCACAAAGACCTTACACGTACTACTATCCTATTCTATGTTTTCTTGTATGACGAGGATCGATCAATTTTCAACTAGTCTCAATAACCCACGGGACAGAAGAGATGTAACCACTGGCACTTAGAGAACAGTTTCATCTAAATGACTGGAGAGCTCTCCGGACCTAGTCTCGTACAGGTGATACGAATCCGACAATGAATCCAATAGGATCCACCAGTGGCATTCCTCGACCTGCACACAGATCTCCTCACATCGTCGACAGAGCGACCAGGACGAGAAGCTACCGCCACCTTCAAAAGTCATTCTCTCTTGTTTTTGTTTTTTGTTCTCAAATAAATTTTTACAAAACTCAAGAGATCATGACTTTCGAAAACTTTGGTCATTCCGATCCTGACCCGTACCCGATAATACACAAAATGTAAACAGATTAAGTCTGTATGTATTTATGTGAATAAGATTACTGTATTGCTACAGTTTTTTCATGCACACATGTACATACAACCTAACATTTCTACATAGACAAGGTGTATTATCATTTCGAGCCGACTCCAGTGGTTACAAAGAATAAAAGATTTATAAACCCCCATAAACTTTAGGATGTCTAAGGAATCACAAACTTTGTGATTTTTTTTCGATATCGAACGAATCATCATCTTGATCTTGCCAGGATCAAGATTGATTATGAGGAAATCTCGCTGAAAATTGAGGAAAAATGCTGAGGCAAACTAAATCTAATACATACCTGTTCTTTAAATTATGGTTAATGAATAATACTGTTTTAAGTCTTATACATTGATATCATTCAGTCATATACATAAAAAGATCAAACAATAAATTAATTGACGAGAACGATACCAATAGTAATGATAAATAATTATCAAAATAATTTAATGATGTATTGATGAAGATATGATACGACACTGGATGCCATAAGGAGAATTTTTAATTTTTACAGAAGTAAGTAAGAAACGATGATATCGGAATCGATACAAATGTATATATAGAGCCGTTGTAGTTACATTGATTTTACTTGAACTGAAAGTATTGAGAATGATGACGGCGGTGAGAAAGAATGATGGGCCATTTATTAGCAATGATGTTGACTTTTATTGAATGGGAAGAACAATTGTGAC